ATACTATAGTCGCAACGGTAGTGACGTCATGGCTGTCGCCGGCCAACGAGTTGGTGTTTTTTCAATGTATGCGTCAGACACGGGTCACGACGAGGCGTTCCCCATAGCGACCCCTAGAGGACGCAGTGTCTCATTCCCTACTCAGGGAACCATGGTTACATAAGTAACCTTAGACGTTTGTTTACATAATACCATAGTTTTTGGTTGGTTTTTATGAAAAATAATAATTAATTAATTCCAATCCATATACAAAATGTGCATTTTTTTTATTACTACAGTCAGTGATTTGAAACTACATTAATTTTGATGTATTATAATTTTTTTTGCAGTGTCAGAATAAAAAAAAACAAAAAACATTCACACACACACAAAAACACACACACACACACACACACACACACACACACACACACACACACACACACACACACACACATTTCTCAGTACACACATACAAACCACACTCTGATATCCATTCCCAGTATACCCACATTTTTTTCAGTAGAAGCAGAAAACAGGTATTTGCTCCATAGTTAATAGGAAACAGCTGATAATAGGAAACTAGTTAAAATTAAAAATAAAAACAGTCAAAATTCTGAAGGCTTGCCCACAGAATGAAAGCCTATTAACAAAAAGTGCATGATTTTATGCTTCAATGGCACTGGGAATAAATATTGCAGTTTTATTAGGTTTCATTTTAATGGGAGACATTTTTGTCCTTAAAGGGACAGTTCACCCAAAAATGAAAATTAACTCATAATTTACTCAACCTCAAGCCATCCTAGGTTTATATGACTTTCTTCCTTCAGGCGAATACAATCTGAGTTATATTAAAAAATATCCTGGCTCTTCCAAGCTTTATAATGGCAGTGAATGGGTGTTGATATTCAATAGTCCAATAGAAGTCCAATAAACTGTGTCCATCCATCATAAATCATTCTGCACTTGGCTCCGGGGGTTAATAAAGGCCTCCTGAAGCGAACTGATGCGTTTTTGTAAGAACGTCATCCGCTGGAATGCCACTCTCTCATAGACGCGTGTACGAGTACCTCATGGGGAAATTTTCATTTTTGGGTGAACTATCCCTTTAAGGTCCTGACTGTAACCATTTTTGTACATAGTGTAAAATAGATTTATGAAAGTAAATGAGGGTGAAATATTACAATATTGCCCCCCCCATTTTTTTTGGCAAAATGTTTGCTGTTTGCATTAACAGCCAAAAAAAAAATGAAAAAGACAAAAATGTCCCTAAGGATGCACAAGGGTCAATGCTCTTGTGCAGCTGTACAGATGCAGATGGATGTTTTTGGGCGCTGCATCTTGCACAGTTGCACAGTCCAGCCTCAAGCATTGCATTTTTAAGAGGCTGCGTCAAGTTAAAAATAGTCCAACTTTTAAAAATGTGTCTCGTGAATCGAGACCTCTGCATTGTTTCATACTGTTTTTAAATGCAAAATGTTTTCTTGTGTTAATTCCTCCTATGAAACATGTTTTGATATGGGTCAGATGAATCCAGAATAGTTAATCTAGGCTAGTTGTTCAGGCAACCCACTGACTAGCCGACTTCGAAAATATGTAGTTTTGTTCTAGTCTGTAAGTGTGTGCAAGTCTGGTCACATAGACGTGTTTGAGCTGTCTGTGTGTGTGTGTAAATGTGTCTGTTTCCCACAGTGCTCAGTGGATTGTGGAGTGGGAAAGAGATCCCGGAGCGTGCGCTGTGTCAGTGACCATGGCAACACTGTGAATGACAGGGAGTGCAGTGATAGGCTCCGCCCACAGCACACTGAGGACTGTCACATGGGTCCTTGTGTCACAAACTGGTACTTCACAGACTGGACAAACACTGTGAGTACTGACCAGTGAGATTCATGCTTCAGATTCAGGTCATTTGATTAAATTCTATATTTATGTAGCAATATTTAATTAAATGTGGGAAATGTTTCTCCGTCTTTCTCTGTCAGTGCTCTGCGACGTGCGGGCCGGGCGTCCAGCGGAGAGAGGTGGTGTGTTTGACCGGCGGAGGCAGGAGAGAAGGAGACGGAGGAGTGGAGTGTGGGGGCGAGAAACCGGCTGATATGAAGGCCTGTAACGGGGGACCCTGTACACCCACCCACCTCTGGTACACCGGACCCTGGGGACAGGTGAGGGCCGTCTGCCTACAGCAAATATCAATGATTTATATTCCAGTGTTAAGGTCTGTGTTAGAATAGAATAGAAGAACAAGTCAAAGAATGAAGTCGAATCGAATTGAATAGAACAGAATAATATGGAATAATGGAGTGGAATAATGTCAAAAAACACATCAAATTAAATAGAACAAAAAATATAATCGAGCAGTTGAATGTTCGAATGTAGAATGAAGAGTAGAATACAATTTAACAAAATATGTGCCTCTAGAAGCTTGTGTTCTGCAAGTGAACGTCACTTTATTGTTCATCCCAAAGAGGCACAAAATCACTTTCACAGACTTTTACATTAACTGTTCCCTCCTGGTGGAATTACCTGCCCAACTCAGTCCCAGCAGCTGAGTCCTTAACCATCTTCAAGAATCTGCTAAAAACACATCTCTTTCATCTTTATTTGACCCTCTAACTCTAGCATTCTCTATTCTAATTCTATTCTTTAAAAAAATAAAAATAAATAACTTTTAGACTTGCACTCTATTCATTTACTGCTTGTTTTCTTTAAAAAAAAAAACCACTAACTTCTCTCATTTTTGTATTCTGTTTTCTTTTTATTTATTATACAATTAACAAAAGCAAAAAAAAGGCCTCTAACACTAGCTTGCTCTATTCGTTTTCTATTCTATCTGTTTTCTTTTTATTTATTATATAATTTCAAAAAAAACTTGCTACGTGTACTGTGTTAAGCTAACTGAGTCTTGTTATAGCACTTGCATATCATTGTTCTTTTGTTGATTTTGATTGCTTCTATTGTCCTCATTTGTAAGTCGCTTTGGATAAAAAGTGTCTGTAAAATGACTAAATGTAAATGTAAAGCTGCATAGAATAAAGATGAGTAGAACAGAATAAAGCTAAATATATAACAATGTTGAATATAATAACAGAATAGTACAGAACAGAACAAGCCATTTAGAATTAAGTTAGAATGATACAATTAGAACATTCTCAAATAGAATAATATAAAATATAATATAAAAAAACTAATAAAATTGAATATTAAATTAAACAGAAATAATTAAAAGTAATAGAACAATATAGAGATAAATAGAATAAAATAGAAGTTAAATATACATTTTAACAAAATAACAGAATAGTGCAGAACAGGTCAATTAGGATAAAGTTTAAATAATTAGATTGTTATAAAAATATAATAGAATAATATAGATTAGAATTTCATCAAAGAAAACCAAAAAGACTAAATCAATAGAGCTAAATATAATAGAACAGTGTTGAAATAAATAACTGAACAAAACAGAATAAAGTTTAATAAAATTGAACAAAATTAAATGTAGAACAATGTCGAATAGAATAAATGAATGGTACAGAATAGAACCAGTCAATTAGAATAAATATAAAAAATATATATAAAAATATAAAATAATTCAATTGGAGTGTTCTAAAACAGAATTATGTAGAATAGAATAACATCAGAGGAAACCTAATAAATTTAAATAGAGCAAAATAAAATATAATAGAAAAATGCTGAATAGAATAACGTTGAATAGAATGGAATAAAATTGAATAGAATAAAGATACATAGAATAGAACAAAGTTAAATGTAGAACAATGTAGAATAGAATCAATTAAAATACAAAGAATAACATTGAAAACAACATAGAATAAAGATGAATAGAATAGACTAGTATAGAATGTAATAGAATAGTCCAGTAAGCTGTCATGAGAATGTGTTGGCAGTCGTCACTCTTGCCAAATTTACACTGCAAAGGTGGCACAGAAGCTCTTCTGAAGGGGCATTTAGGTGTCTTTACACAGCCTGTTTAATGCTGCTCAGAGGTGGCATAAATGCATTTACTCAGCAATTACAGCTGTATACCTTGATACTAGGGGCTGCAGTGGGTCTGAGCAGGCATGAGTTAGTCTGGCTTTTATGCAGCATTTCACCGTTACACTGAATTCTAAGCAGGTACAGAGCAGCCTTAGCTCGGCTGTGTAAAGACACCTTCTGTCTCTGGACTCTCTCTGTTGAACAGTGTAACGCAGCGTGTGGAAACGGCACCCAGCGCAGGGACATCATCTGCGTGAGGAAGACAGGAAGTGACTTCACCGTGAGCGCCGCCAGTGAGTGCTCACACCTGGAGAAACCGTCTCCAGTGCAGCCGTGTGAACTGCAGCCCTGCAAACCGCAGTGGTTCACCACCGAGTGGAGCACGGTGAGGACGACTTCATCTGTCCTGCGGGATCTTCCCTTCCTCTGCTGTCACTGACTTCCCCTCTGTGTCTGTCCAGTGCTCTCGGTCCTGCGGTGAAGGGGTGCAGACGCGGGAGGTGTGGTGTCTCACTGCAGACAAACAGCACAACACAGCCTGCGATCTGGACTCCAAACCTGCCCACGAGCGCTCCTGCAACACCATACCCTGCAGTCCCTTCGAAGGTGTGTGTGAGAGTGTTTTTGCATTCTGTATAATGATTCAGAGTATAATCTCTCTCTCTCTCTTCCCATCTCTCTCGTTGTAGATGAGAACTGTAAGGACAGACGGCATAACTGCGTAATGGTGGTCCAGGCTCGACTCTGCGTCTACTCCTACTATAAGACCGCCTGCTGTGCGTCCTGCACCCAGAGTGCTCAGCGGGCCAAAAGACATTAACCCTGCACAAGCCACAGAGAAGTCAGGTTCAGGTCCAGGAGAGAATTCCGACTTGAACTGAGCTGAGATCAGGATCCCTTTAAAGTGAAAGTTTTAAAATGTTATCGCATATGGGCTCATAGGCTCAAATGATTCACAGTAGCTCTTTCCCCATTGATGACGAGTCGGCGGCAGTGCTAGGGCTGTTTAGTACACTATACTGTCAAATACTAATCCATTCCTTAAATGATCTTTAAACAAATGCACTGACATCGCAGGTCCACATTCTGGACACGTATATGAAGATATTGTTAAGTGGGAACAATTCTAGAAGTTGCTTTTGTGCTTTCGTCACACATGAAGTGTTTCATAACGGTTTCTTTTTAATTGCAAGTCAATGGATACAGAATCTGGTATTTGAACCAGTATTCTGTCTCATTTATTCAGTTTATGAGTTGTGCGACCAAAGTATGATAAAACAGATGACAAGCATCAAGCATCAATTACACACCTAATGTGCATCCTTCACTCCTAATTATGTTGTATTGGCACTAAAAACCTACTGTTGAAAAAGTTGAAAAAGAGAGACAAATATTACATTTTCCAATTAAAATCATGAACATGCATCATAATTACTGCATAAAAGCGATAGATTCTTATGCAAACATTGATTATCCCCATACAAATAGTCCCTTTGGCCTTGTCTCAGTCCCCTAAATGGTCCTTAAAATATCAGTACTTCAGCAAGAACATGAATGCTACAGCATAAGTGCTCACGGCTGTCTTAAAATAGCACACTTAGTGCTGACAGTCAGTCCCACAGATCGTATTTGAGTGCAGTGTGAACAGAAATCTGGACATCTACTATGAATCTAGTCCTTTAAGCTATTACGAGAAGATGAGCATCATGATCAGCTCTCTGTATTTGATTCACTCTTTATTCTTTAGGTTGGTTTTATCTGAATGTATATCAGTTGTTTTGGTGTTTCGTGTTTTTGTCATTTTGTCATTTTGTGTGTGACATGTTTTTGTTTGTGTGTTTTGGCTTTGTTATTTCTGGCTGTTTTTATTGGTTGCCCTCAATGTAAGTTAAAGGAATAGTTCACCCAAAAATGAAAATTTGCTGAAAATGTGCCCACCCTCAGGCCATCCAAAATGTAGATGAGTTTGTTTCTTCATCAGGTTTGGAGAAATGCAGCATTGCATCACTTGCTCCTCTGCAGTGAATGGGTGCCGTCAGAATGAGAGTCCAAACAGCTGATAAAAACATCACAAGTAATCCACACCACTCCAGTCCAGCAATTAAGGTGTCCATCATTAAAGCTGTTGTAAGTTTAGCTGTTAAGAATATTTCTCTCCTGATTCACATGTGATTACTTTTTCACTGGAGGAAGCGTTATTATGGACTCTTATTTTAGCAACGGTTCAAAGTTAAAAACATCTTAATGCTGGATTAGTTTCAGCTTTTGTCTTCTCCAGATGTTAACTGATGGACTGGAGTGTTGTGGATTATTGTGATGTTTTTATCAGCTGTTTGGACTCTCATTCTGATGGCACCCATTACATTTTTAGCTAATTTTCATTTTTCTGTGAACTATTCTTTTAAAGTATGACTATTACAGAATCAGAGCCACAATAGCATTACTTGTTTTAATTCATTATTATAAAACACAGAGCAGTTTTGTTGTGCATTTCGTATTGTGTAATCTAAGGCCTAAATGGTTGCTGTGGATATATGCGCAGGTAGAAAGCATTTAGGGCAGCATTATTTGTGTGGTTTATCCATTGCATAAGTATTAAATATGCAAATAGTATAGTGATTTCAGCCAAAGTCAAGTACAATACAAGACCATTGCCCTAGATCAAAACAGATCAAAAATACTCTCTAGTATTACAACATGTGATCTTTCTGTTACCAGCCCATAGCTATAACCAATAGGCGACCACAACCTATTATGCAATAACCAGTATGTCAGTGAGCAAATGAATATATAAATTAATAATGGCAGAGTTGGGGTGGATTTTTGTCTCAGTAACTTGACTCAGTCCTGATTGCAAACATTTTACATTTTATGTATGTTTATGTACATATTTTGTATGTATATTATCACATACGTTTAGCAGATACTCTTTAGAAGAATAAAAAGATGCTTTTATATATGAAACAGGAAACATAGCTATTTATCTATGATAAAATGCATATAATTTATTTTTTTTTCTTTAACGGATCAGTCTTTAGAAATTTAAGATCAACTTGTTGCTACACATTTATGTTGCTTTGTTATGGAATAGACAGTGTCTTTAGATTTTACCACAATTATTATTCATAATAAACAAACCTAAAACCATTCTGTTTTGTCATCTGTGCAGAAATTTCAGTGCTAAAACTAATGCTTTCATAACTAAATGTTAATATAAACATTTTTATTATATAAAAGTTAACGATAATTGCACAGTAAGTGGAGTTACTCCTGAGGGGGAAAAGTCTAGCAGCATTTATTAATGACAATGACACCTGAGAAACTACAACTTTGTTCTGATCATCTGCTCTCATAAGGCAGATCTTTTGCCCAAGACCACCTACTTCACAGGCCAGCCTGAGATGACTCCTCGCATAATGTGTGACCTCAGAAGAGAAGAGGAGGGGTCTGGATCTGGGGGCACTGCAGGCAGATGGTGACCTTTTCACAGTAAATCACTCTGAAACCTGTCACATCCCAGCAGGAGCATTTGGGTCACGGGGCTCCGAGTGAGAACGCAAGGGTTAAAATGTATCACCGTTTCGGCCAATGTGATACACTATTGTCAATAAATAGTTACATTTGATGTTAATAATAAGTGCAATAAACATTTTTTCCTTCCACATGCAGTTCAGAATTATATTTATGTTTTAAAGTTGTGTGTTTATCTGGCTTGCTCATCCATTTAGATACCCAGAGCTCTGTTTTATAAATCCTGTTTCAACATTAGATTGCAATATGATGAGCTGCCTGTATACATAAGTCTATGATGCTTGATGATCTAGATAGCATTCAGCAACACAATGGGAGCTTCAGGGAATGTCAACCAATAACACATTCTCATCCAAAACACAAACTAACACTTTACACCAGTGGGTCTTAATCTGATGATCTGAATCAGGTTTGTCAAATAAGGGAGACATGCGAAATGTGCAGAGCTTACCAGGATTAAGAACCAATGCTTTACACCATCACCAGTGTGCGCAATTAAAGGGACAGTCACCCGGAAATGAAAATGTGTTGTTAATTTATTCACCCACAGGCCATCCAAGATGTAGGTGACTTTTTTTCTCAGTTGAACAGTAAAGAAGATTTTTTTTAGCTGAAACCGAAGTCCTTGGTGATTTATAAAATACAATTCAGTGTCTACCGGCACTTGAGAGTCAAAAAAAGCATGGCAAGACTAAATTAATACCCACGGCTCCTGAAGACATATTGAGATTGTATGAAGCTAAATGATCCATCTGTGCAAGAAACCAAACATTATTTATAACATTATTACCTGTAATCACCAGTTTGTTTACGTAGTCATGTAATGACGTAGCGTCGTTTTTACGCAATTATAGGCCTATTATTAAAGCACCCAATAAGTATGTGAAACGTAAATGTTTTACATGTCTAAAGCATATAAAGTGAATAAACTAGTTTTCATCAGCTCACCTTTCATTGGGCCCTTTCGTTCAAGTGCTTGGTTCACGCATGCGCACATCAGCGGCTCATCGGTCTTCGGTCCGAGTCGAACTGTTTCCTCAGCACTGAATCAGTTCATTCATCATAGGCTCAGATACACCAGTATTTTGGCTCATTTTGAGTCGGAGTGACTGTCAGGCATCCATAAGTGAGTTTTGATTGAGTAACTTGTATATCTGTGTCCTGTGCTACTCGAACTGTTTCAGACGGTTCAATCTGATTTGGTGAACTGATTCATTCAGTTCGCTAAACAGAACCGGTTCAAAAGAATGATTCATTCACGATCCAGCAGAACGTTTGCCTGAGGCTCCTCTATTACAGGCAATAATGTTGTAAATAATGTTCATTTTCTTGCACAGACCGATCGTTTCTCTTCATAAGACCTCAATATATCGTTACATATACACAGTTGTTAATTTTGTCTTGCCTCTTTATGCTTTTTTGACTCTCAATGTGCCGGTAGCCACTGACTTGCATTTTATGAATCACCAAGGACCAGCTAAAAATCGTCTTTACTGTTCTACTGGGGAAAAAAAAAAAAAAACAGTCACCTACATCCTGGATGGCCTTAGGGTGAGTAAATTAACAGAACATTTTTTATTTTTGGGTGAACTGTCCCTTTAAGGGGCTTGAATTTACGAATTTAAACAAAAAAGGGGGTCTGAAAAGTAAGTATTATTTTTATGTATAACCTACTATTAAGTATGTTACAGCGTTTTAAATCAGTGTTTCAGTATCCAGGAAGCTACAAGTCATTCAGAGTGTGCTACTGTAAATGTGCCTCTGCATAACAGCGCCTGCTCTATCCCTGTACTGTATTGATAAAACACGCACAACTTGTTGTTGTGTCCTCAGTAACTGCACAAGTAAATCCTCTTAACCGTTTATTCAACAGATGCTACCTTTTTACAGAACTGTATGGCTTCTTCTTAGGGAATACTCAGTAGAAGCTCTACACGTAACAATATACTGCCACCTTGTGGTTAAACTACAAAACAGCGCTTCAGAATACGATATCCCTTCCTCGACTCTGACCGTCTGAACTTGCGCCGCCTGCTTCCTCACCTTACATCCTCCGTATCCCGCACTGTGCTCTCCTCCGCAATTACAGCATTTGGGACTAATTTCTTGCCCACATTGACCATATTCATGTTCACCCCCACATCTTGCGCATCTCTGTTTACCCCTGCAAACTGCCGCCACATGCCCGTACCTTTGGCACTTATAACATCTCAGAGGAGGCGGAATATATGGCCTGACCATATAACTTACAAATCCTAAGAAGACTCTGCTAGGTAGCTTATTTTCATCAAAGTGAATAATGACTGAGAGACTTTCAATTTTTTCATTGTTTCTAGTACACCGCAATCGTTTCACGTCGAACACTGTCGCTCCAGTTAAATTTTTCTTAATCGTTTCAACTTGAACATCAGGAGATACTCCTGATATTACTCCTTTAACCCGTCTTTTGTCTTCTGGAATTGAACAAATAACTTTTTGTCCTAGAACCGATTTTATTCCTAAAGCCACTTTTTGTTGTCTGTTATCATTACAAAACAACAAAAGTCTACCTTCTCTTAAAGTCTTAACACTTTCCATCATTCCGATCTTTTCCTTCAGTGCTTTAGACAGTTTCAACGGGTTAATTGCATTCAAAGATCCAGCAGCAAACTTCATCAATACCTTACACTCTTCTTTTCTTTTCCTTGACATATGACTTCCATTCTCACTGTCTGTTTCAGATATATTTCCACTAATTTTCTTTCTTTTCCTATTTACCACTACATTCCATTCATCTCCATTACCTCCACTTTCCGCGCCACACAATTCATCCTCCATTTCCGGATCACTTCCGGAATCAACGTCACTTCCTATCATGCACGCTCCAGTCACAGACCAGCTGTTGCCAATCCGCCCCAAGCCCCCTAACCGTTTATTCAACAGATGCTACCTTTTTACAGAACTGTATGGCTTCTTCTTAGGGAATACTCAGTAGAAGCTCTACACGTAACAATATACTGCCACCTTGTGGTTAAACTACAAAACACCACACTTGTGCTTTGACTTATCTTTTCTAACCGTGTTGAATGACATGTGAGAGTCTGTGTTGTTTTAAGAGAGCTGTGAGTTGCAGACGTTCCCTGCCCCTTACATCTCGAGCTTGACAAGCGCTCGTGAGAGGGAGACACCGGCGTGACGTCACATCTCAAGCGTTAATTGGAGATGAGGAAAGGAGCAAACACAACCAATAACACATGTGTTGTGGAAGAATATTTCAAGTGCATTATTTTAGAGCTTACAACACGATATTTATATACTAATGACAAGAGAGAAATTGGGCGAAACTGTGATTTTACGAGAGAGGTTAAAGAAACAGTGTGTGAGATGCAGTGAGTGACAGCGAGCGCGAGGACCCCTGAAGACGCAGCACGGATCTATAGA